GCCGCTTTGTTGGAAATGATGGCCCTCACACAACAAGCGCAACTTCTTGCAACCATCCTGCTTCTACATGAAAAAGTTGCAGCCGCCTCCCGGCGTTGGGCGGCTTTCAAAACCAAGTCCCAAACCACGAGGAGTTCCTGAAGCAGTCCGCCACACGGATCAACTTCATCGCCGACAAGGTTGTGGCTCTTGTCATGGAGCTGCGCCTCGGAACACTCGACAGTCATTGTATTAAGAGCATGGCTGCAGCGTCACCAGGTGAACAGCACTTGTCAACTGTACAATGTCACGGCCCTGTTGCCTCCGCACCATAAACCATCCCAATCACTTTGCATTAGTCAGCTGTAGACTGTCGCAACAGCTTTGCTTCAGTCCCTATGCCAAAGACATTTGGGTATATACATGCAGCCTTTGAAACAACTTGCGGGTGCTTAGCAGGGAGTGTGGGGATGAACCCAGCAGGACACCATCATTCCCTGCCTATTGCAGCAAGCTTTTGATCAACCCCACCTCGGTCACTTCAGGTACCTTTAGTAATTTAGTGTGTTTTGCTTGGATCTTAGGACTTTAACTTTTAGCCAACTAATGGGTTTTCCATTAAGCCACTAAAAGCTATTCACTTTTAGCAGCAGAAAGCCACCGAGGTACCGCTCTCCCATGAAGATTGTCGAGGAGGTCTCGGCGGCGGGCCTGCGCCATGTGGGCTACGGCATTCCCACGGAGACCTGCGGTTTTTTCGCTGCGCGGCGTCTTCAAACCGGAAAACAAATCCGCCCAAATGGGAGGGTTGCCTTGGATTCCGCCTCATGACGCACAGCAGGGGAAGCTACCCTCAGAAAAGGCACATCTGGTTTTTTTTACCATCGAGCTTCAAGCATTCGAATCATAGGTCCAGTTCCACCAGAAGCAACGAATTCTTCCTATGGGAAGCGAGCTCGGGCGATGCGCCATAAAGATTATTTTCCCTCCATGCCTTTTAGTGGCAGCAGAGTCCTACGAAGGAGAACCCTCTAAACTGCCTGGTCGAATTTGCCGAGTCTTTTGCTGTCTTCAATTGGGCAGCCCGGAGGTGCCGCCAAGGGGGGACAGTCTCTGCTGCGTTTCTCGACCTTGCTGTTGAGGGGCCGCCCGCTTCGTGTTTTTTTTTCCCCTTTTTTCCGAGACCCGCTGTGTCTCAGTGGGCAGCTTTTCACCAGCCGCCCTTTGTGTTCCCACTTAACAGCTGTCACTTGCATGGTGACTGTCGAGGAAGGTGTGCTGAATAAAAGCTCAAGTGGGTCAGAGCGTGTTTTTTTTTTTTTTTTGGCTTCTCTCTTCAGCCTCAAAAGTGAACACCGAGGCCTCAATTATGCAGGCAGACCTCTTTTCTGGGTGGTTCCCAGCCATCCCTGGAGGTTTTCGGGTTTGGGTTCGGTGGGTTGCACGCAGGGCTTTTGACCTCTTGGTTGCCAGCCGCCCCCGTGAGGTTTCGAGGCGGGTTTTCGTGTTTTGAGCAGAAACTCCGAGCCAGCCCAAACCCTCAACCCTCAACCCTAAACCCTATTGTTTTTTGAAGCCCCTTGACCTGTGGCTATTTTTTCTCCAGGAGATGTTCCCGCCCTTCGTCTCGTCCTCGGTGGCCTTGGTGCAGTCCATGTGCCAAAGCGAGCTCACGGTGGAGGCCTTCCGCTGGGCCTTGGCGCTGGCCGCTAAGCGCCTGGGACCTTGGCCTTGGCTGCGCGCGAACTCCTGGCGTTGGGATCTTTAGACTTTCCACCTCTTTGGTTGAAATTTGATTTTTGAGGTTTCCGAACTAAACGCCCCAAAAAGCGGAAAAACACTTTTGCGGGGTCAACAGCAACCTGAGGTAGCGAACCCGGGTGGCTTCTTTTGGCCTTTAAATCGGGGCCGCGGGCGGCTGAAGTCTGAAGCGCCCAGGAAATGATGGCCCCCCGCGTGGCATAGCATGGCTCCGTGTGTTGGATTTTTTTTGAGGTGCGTGCCCACTCGGGTTGGCGGAAAAGCCGCAGGGATTGGGAATTTCGAGATCGCTTCCGACTAGGCCCGTGCACATGGAGCGAGTCCTGCAGTTGTTTGCCTAGGTCCCCAGTGCCCGTTTGCCGATTCTTTTTTGGTAGAGGGTTCCCCTACTAAAATAGACTACAGAAAAAAGTTGGTACCCTTATTCTAACCGCTCTACAGGAGGACCTAGTTGCTTTTGAGAGAGCAACGGGGACCCCAGCAATTAAAAACCGCCATGACCACATCGGTAACCGCAAGAAGTACCGTCAAAATTACTTCTGTTGAGTTTAGCATTCGGCGTGTCATTGATATTGTGAAAATGCACCAAACCATGGCAAACGATAGGGACTCTCAAAAACACGATACCCCTGTAAAACGATGGAAACGCAGGAAAACGATAGGGGGCTCTCAAACTAAGTAGCGAAACAGCCGTTAGTAAGTAGTTTCGACCGTGTCTCAGACAAGCAGGAAGGGTTTTTCTGCGGCATTTGTTGACCCATGGGCCAGCAGAAGGTCCGAGAAGCAGCTTGGCACGCAAGTGTGTTCCATCCCTATGGAGACCCTTACTCAGACGTCTTGTTCTCGAAGTTGCAGTTCTGCTGAACTTTTTGTAGTTGCAGTTCTGAGGCGCTATGGGCGGGCAGTGCTTTTGCAGCCATGAGTCCTGATCCGAAACTCTGTCCACAGGAATGCCAACTCAGCCGGAGAGGGGAGTTGAGCCACGCCAATTCGGACGCACTGAGCGGTAACTTGTTGGGTTCAGACAAGGATTATGGTGCGGACTATCACGGAGGGATCCACTCTGGTGATGAAGGCCATCAACGTCAACAACAGGTGCCGGCTGTTTTTGTTTCCCTCCGCGGGGGTTGGACGGGGGAACCGGTGGTTTTTTTTACTAGCCCCGGCTCGGGGGGTGATCCCGGCTAGGAGGCTGGTTGGTTGGTTGGTTGGCTGGCTGGTTGATTGGTTGGTTCGTTGGTTGGCTGGTTGGTTGGTTGGTTGGTCGGTCGGCGCACACCTAGCACAGATCAGCCCCAAGCAAGCCAAAACCGACCCAAAGTCAACCTTAAGCCCTCGCAACTGTATCCTGCATATCAGCCCCTTGCCGAGCCTAAATGAACCCCAAACAAATTTGAGACCCTCATTAAGACCTCAGCAAGCCCAACACTCACCCCAAACCAGCCCCGAGCAAGCCCTGAACTGCCACCAAATCAAAGCCAGTAGGCAGCTCTCGTCCGAGTGAGGCTAGTAATGCTCCAAAACTTGCATAACCACATCCCCGAAGCAACCCGAAAGCCGCGGCTAAACCAGCCGCACACCCAGCACAGATCAGCCCCAAGCAAGCCAAAACCGACCCAAAGTCAACCTTAAGCCCTCCCAACTGTATCCTGCCTCTCAGCCTTTGCCGAGCCTAAATGAACCCCAAACAAATTTGAGACCCTCATTAAGACCTCAGCAAGCCCAACACTCACCCCAAACCAGCCCAGCTCTCGTCCGAGTGAGGCCAGTAATGCTGGCGATGCGGCCGACTTGCCCAGACAAGAAACCGGAAATGCTGGCGATGCGGCCACCAACCCCCAGCCAACCTCTTTGCTGGGGGCTAGGAAAAAAAAACCTCAACATGGCATGCGAAACAGCAGAAGGGCATCATTGAAAGGGTTGGGGCGACGGGATGGGTTGCCCTTGCCTCTTAATAATAAACGGACAGTTGACTTCTGGCAGCGCCAAATTGTTGGTCTCATGTTGAACTCCTCTTATTCTTGCTGGTTCTCAGCAGCGAATCATCCCTTATGGCTTCCTTTAAGAGAATATTGAAACGGTTCATTCCCAACGCTCGGTTTCGGTCATTCCCCACCTATTGCACCAGCAAGCAATTGGGGGCCGACTGCGTCTCCCTTTGGGCGAGGGGATGGGGGCAACCATGTGAGTATTTCGTTTGATTGGCTGGTCCTCAAACCTCAAACCTGTACCTTTCCTGTCCAAAGGGGGTGGTTGTACAGCAACCCTTGGCCGAAAGTGCCTTCAGACTGTCCGTTTGGGGCGGGAGATGGGGACATGGGGACATTTGAGGGTGAAAAGTAGGTACCCAAAATCAAACCCTGGCAAATGAAACCAAGGACTAACACCTGCAGTCCAATTCCTGGTGGTGTTTTTTTTTTGACCCATGCCCATTTCTCACCCGTTCCCCAAAGTTTCCCTTCTTGAGCCGCGAGGACGCAGCTCAAGAAGGCCATGGGCGTCGCCCCTCGGGGTCAGAGGGCGCGTGAGATGCTGAAGATCACCGCTGGGACCCAGCCGGGAAGCCCGACGAGAGAAGGGGAGAACAAATGGGTGCGTGTTTGTGTGTCTGTGTGTTTGCGCGCGCGCGTGGATTTTGTAGAGGGCGGCCCTTTTCAGCTTCTAGTTTGCACGGGGCCCGAGGGAAAATCACCATATTCCCCCCCCCCCCCGGCCCGAAAAATATCACAGACCCAATCTGGGTGTGCCTTTGTCGCGCGTGTGGGGGTTTTAGTCTGGAATCGCAGCCTGACGCCGTGGCCGAAGGCGAGGGGTTGAAGTTGACCCCTGCTCCCATCATGAGCTAAGAAGTGAGCAGGATTGCCATTGACCAGGGCGCAGGGCGCCGGGTGGTGAACACGTAGAAAACGCCAAACGCGGGTTCCGGGTGGTGCTCTTGCCCGGGGGTTGGCCAAGAGTTCTTCCCAGGTGCTTTACCAATTTGGTGGCGCCTGGCCATCCGGTTCCTGAGGTGTTTAGCGTGCCCAGCTTCAAGAGCCGAGCGGCCGAGCATGCCGACAAAATTCTTTTCAACCAGGGTTCTTTTCAAAAGCCGGATCTGTTTCCCCTGGGTGTTTGATGAGTCCCTGAAAAGAAGGATCTCTGGAAAGCTGTTTCGTTTGGGTGTTTGATGATTCCCTGAAGGATCTCTGGAAAGAATGGAATTGGAAGCTTCCCCTAGAAAGAGAGAACTGCTTTTGGTCACTTGGGTGTGGCTCAAAATTGAAGAGCCAGGGTTACGCAGGTTTTAGTCTTTGGTTCCATCTACCAAGGTGCCATTTTGGTACATCTTTTTGAGCCACAGCCACTTGGGGCCAGAAATCCGCCAGGTCCATTTCTCCCTTCTACTGGGCCATCGACAGCGGGGCCCTCGGTTGCGCCCACGCCATTCTGGAGGACTTGCTGACCATCCGCGCAGACCGGGAGGCGGGCGGGCCTGCCGGGCCTGCCATGGGTGCAAACGGGTGCCATGGGTCCATTCATGTCCATTCTCTTTTTGCATTTTTTTGGGGGTTACATGTGGGAACCCAGGGTATGGTTGCAAGCTGTGTCGGCTTTTTTTTGTTGTTGGTCAAATTGTGCGCAATCCAGGGTCGCCAAGCTGTCGTATTGCTGGGGGGGGCTTCTCAGAAGCAGTTTGTATTAGAAGGTCGGGCGTGTTGATTCGATCAGTATTTGAAGATGGTCCTGTGGAGTTTCTGAGGACAGGCGGCCCCCTTCATGATGGGACGTTGGAACGTCGAGAGACCAATCAGATTTCAGAAGTGAGGAGTGCCTCTCGGCGGCTTTGCCCGCAGCAAGACCCCCCTGGAATTCATTAGGTGCCAGAGCAGAGGGGGTTGAAGGGAGACAATGGATATCTTGGAGGGAGGGCTTCAATGGGCAAGTTGCCTGGAGGTCTACTACTACGGCTGTGAGAGCCTGTTCACCTACTACCCACAGCTTGTCCAGCGGCTGCTCGCTCTCTCTTCGGTGCTCCAGTCATTCCGGAGGGCAGCAAATTCGAAAAACTTGGCTGAGATACTCCGCTTGTCAGACAGCTGCCACATTCAAGGAACAAGGCTTTTGGTTGAACGCTGCCGCTTATTCGGCGGCGTTCTGGTTGGGTGTCCTTGAGCCGTGGGATTGCCGACTTCTCTCACGCGCCGCGAACGCCTCAGGGGGACAGAGCCCTGCAGGTGCCACAAATTCTTCAGATGTCCGCAAAGGAAACTGAAGCCATGCTTGCCCAGTTTTTTTTCCCAGGCCCCCATTTCGCGCGTGGACAAAAAATGTGGTTGACTTCTGGAAAGCGATCTTGCGACTGAAGGATCTGCCCAACCTCCCCGCGGGTGAACGATCACTGCAGATGTTCATCGACCTTGGTAGATGAGAAGGCTAAGTGGCTAAGTTCCAATGTTGCCAGAGATGGATCCAGTTGTTGATTTTGTAGGTTGACCTAATTCGCTGAACCTGCACAGTTTGATCTCGAATCGATGCCGTACTGAGAAGAGGTGCCCCTTATGGATCCACCATCTATTCCCTAGTGGTTACAAGCCCAAGGTGGAGGTTGCAAGGTCGGCGCAGCGCCCTGTTTTCAATGCAAACAAATCCGAAAGCGTTGCAAATGAAACAGCCTTGCTGAGGGAGAGTAAGAGTCAATCTCGTCACGAGCGTCATGGTGTACTTCTGTTAAACCACTTTATGGCAATTATATATCGCATTTTGCGGGCAAAGCATGGCAGGGGAGTACAGGCATTTGCCCATGCCCCGCTTGCAGAGTTTACCTTGGCTTTCCCATCCAAACCTTTAACGTGGAATCGTGGAGGAGGGTGTGGAGGTCCGTTTGGGCGCGTCTTTGCTTGGGGAACCTCAAAAATTGGCTTTCCTTCCACCAACAAACAGGGGTGCCCTCAAAAATGCAGCCACACCCATTTGGCTGTGGAGAAAAATGGCACCTTGGTAAGTGGAACTAGGGACTAAAGCATGCGTAGCCCTACTGTGGACGAAATCCTGCACCAGCTAAGAAAAATGGTTGAAACCACAACGTTTGTTGGTATTTACAAGGGGTCATCAGAAGCCAGGGTTTCTTAGGTGGTGCGTTTTATGGATTTTGCCAACCATCCACAGCATCCCCGATCCTTTTTTATCCCAAGTACCATCCAAATTTATCCCCAAGGCCTCATGTTGATCCTACCAGTGAGTCACAGTCAAAACCCACAAACCTAGGTCTTTAAGTTTGAGCCACGCTCCTTGAGCTCCCTGCCTGAGGTTGTGCGCCACAGCGCCCACGCTGCTGCCGGTGCTGATGGATGGCCTGGTCTGGCGCTCCCGGCAGAGCCGCGAGGGCCTCCGGCGCGCCAACTACTACGCAACTCGGCCAAGTCGGTAGGCATAGGTGTCCTTTTTGGTTGATTTGGTAGAAACATAGAGGGGGATTCCTGGTGTAGCTGGTGGTTCAACCAACTACCAGGGATATCTATTTTCCCAAAAAGGGCACCTATGGACTTGGCCAAGTCGAAGGCACGCGGACTGCAAGTCTCCTGCGTGAGCAACACTCCGCACCAGTTGCTTCCACTTGCTTAAGACTATTTCTTATTTTCCCTGGTTGGTTTTAAAGGGAATCTATCACTACTGGATTTTATTATTTTTTTTCCAGGGGGCTTAAGCAAATGGAAGGTTGTGCCAGGGTTTGCGCGCTTCTCGGATTTCGTCCATGGCTTGGGCACGCTGAAGCATAGGCATAAGAGACACGCTGCCCAGCACTCAACTTGTTAAGCTCAGCCTAAATCAGCCTCTTTGCTTGGAGCCAACCTGAAGGAGACGAAGCCGTGCGCCTGGACCGTTGCAAGACCCGAAAGCACTGCAACCCCCGGAGAAAATAAAACAACCAACAAAAACAGGAGATTACACCAGCATAGACCCCAGATAGCACACCACGGCTACGAACCTTGACGCAGCATCATAATGGTTCCCGCGGCATGATGATGATGTTGACAGCATCTTGACGATGTTGACAGCATCATGGAAAATAGCACAGCTGTTCAGCATAGTGCGCTACATAGACGTGCAGACAACGTCCTAGTGAGTCCATCAGCAAAACGATGATGTTGACAGGGTGATGCTGGTACACCAGCCACGAACGATGCCGCGCTACATATCTAGCAGAAAAAAGGCAGAGACGACGTCATGATGAGCTCAACAGCATCATGATGACGCGGACAGCATCATGGTGATGTTCACAGCATCATGGTGATGGCAAAGGCAGCCTTCTGATGACACCACAGCCACGAATCATCTTGCGACAGTGTAATGAAATTCAGCACCACCCTGATGTTGACCACACCCGCGAACCATAATGCGGCACCGCAGCGATTGCAGCAGCATCATAACTTGGTTGACAACACATGATGATACACAAGCCACGAACCATCATTACGCTCGAGAGTTAGAGCAGCAACAACGTCCGAATCGGTTCAAGATCATCATGGTGCTGCTGACAGCATCATGATGCTGCGGCCAGCATCATGATGCTGCGACCACCACGATACCCCAAACAGCACCCGCCCTAGCACCCTGCCATCCATATGCGCTCGCACCATCATTAACACCGGAAAACAGCAGCCCCAATAGCACCCCAACGCAGCACCCGCGCCAGCACCGGACACGTCCCCGAACACCCTGCCGTCACGTACTGTCACCAGCACCTGAACTGAACAGCACTCAGTAGAAGTCTATGGTTTCCAGTTATCCGGGAAATAAGGCCACGCGGTCAGCAGCACCTCCAACAGCAACACCAAACAGCACCTGCACCGCCACCCCACACTGTACGCCCCCTAGCCCGGCCGTCAGTTTTGCAAAGCGGCACCTCCACCAGCCCGAAACAGCACCTGGCCCGTCAATCTCGCAAAACAGCACCTCCACCAACACTCCAAACTACATGCCCCCTATCTCGCAAAGCGGCACCTCCACCAGCACCCGAAACTGCATGCCCCCTAGCACCCGGCCGTCAATCTCGCAAAACAGCACCTCCGCCAGCACTCCAAACTACATGCCCCCTACCTCGCAAAGCGCCACCTCCACCAGCACCCGAAACTGCGTGACCCCTAACGCCCGGCCGTCAATCTCGCAAAACAGCACCTACATGCCCCCCTATCTCGCAAAGCGGCACCTCCACCAGCGCCCGAAGCTGCATGCTTATTAGCAACCCGCCGTCAATCTCGCAAAACAGCACCTCCACCAGCACTCCAAACTACATGCCCCCTAGCACTTGGCCGTCAATCTCGCAAAACAGCACCTCCACCAACTCCCCAAACTGCATGCCCCCTGGCACCCGGCCGTCAATCTCGCAAAGCAGCACCTCCACCAGCACTGCAAACTGCATGCCCCCTAGCACCCGGCCGTCAAGCTTGCAAAAACAGCACCTCCACCAGCACCCCAAACTGCATGCCCCCCGGCACCCGGCCCTCAATCTCGCAAATCACTTTCCCTTCTTTATTAGAAGTTAGAACCCCTATAGCTTTCAGCTATCTGGGGAAAAACAGGAGAAACAAACAAAACCACCGCAACCGGACCCGCGGACCCACCTTATTTTCGGGTGCGGGTTTGGAGGGACACCAGATTTAAACCCATGTCGCACCTCCCGAAATGGAAACACCCAATCAACACCTGCTCTCTAAGTGAAGGCCTGAAGATCAGCCACATGAAACGGACCCAAACAGTATCCCCATCCACAGCATCCGGCATCCCCATTCCAATTTTTATCCCAAGTACCATTCAAATTTATCCTTAAGGCCTCATGTTGGTTCTGCCAGTGAGTCACTGTCAACACCTGGCATTGAAATGGTCTACCCAAATCCGTGCAAGAAAGTGAAGAGTTTCTGGCTGGGATTCTCCTTACTATTCTTCGCCATTGGCCCAAGCGCTTGCAGATTGAGACGTCGAGCCCCGCCTTTTGCTTGCTGAAGCTCTGGGCTTAGGTAGAGCATCTTCTTCAAGCAGACGGGGACGTGGCCAAAAACCTGGTGTCTCGCTTAGCGAAGCATTGGGCGGATGGGGTAAGTTGTGCCGGATAACAGGTTAACAAGGGATTGATATTGTCCAGCAATACTGTTGGCCCTTGGCACTAGCTCCATAAATCGGGGTTCAATCCCAAATCCCGTAGCCTGCCAATATCCCAGATTTCCCCTAGCCTTGACAAGTCCTCAGGCACCATTTCTTGTTTCTGGGCTTTGCGTCTTGCCAACTCTGCCAGGTTCCGTCTTCTGGGTTTGAACCCCTAGGGTGATCCTAGGCTTGGCTGGTGCGGCATGGTGACCCGGTCCTCATCTGCCACAGCACCGTGGTGCTGTTTTCTGACGCTCAGATGCACGGTCGAATTCTCAGATCGCTGAAGCGCACCTCCTTGCAAAGTGGCCATGAGGTGAGGTCCCTTGAAGCCTGCAGACCCCCTTCGAAGCTGGTGATTGCCCGCGCCGCGCCCTGCCCGGAACAAAACACCCTCGCGCTCGCTTTCCACGACGCAAGCTTTGAAACCCACGGTGCTTTGTGAGGGTATCTTCTTTTAAAACGATCGCCCTGTTGCTGTTGAGCCATGCGCGCCTTTGGATTGAAAATGAGTTCTGGCTTCGCTGGTTGGAATTGTGGCCTCGTCTGGCTGCTGGATTTGGTCTGGGGCTTGTTGGGGCTTGGCTAGGCCTAGTTTCTTGTGCTTGTTTTTCTTTCTGCTGTTGCTGCAGCTGTTGCTGTTGCTGCTGCTTTTGTAGTCTTTTTCGGCGCTGTCGTCGTCGTTGCCCTTGCTGTTTGCTTGTTGGTGGTTGGTGGTTGGCTTGTTTCTGGGCTCTGTTGCTTGTCGCAGCGTGCTGTTTGTTGTTTTTGTTTGCCGCTTGCTGTTTGCTGCTTGGTCGTTTTGCTCCGGCCCCTTCCTTCTTTCATGACCGGACTTGTTCGCGAGGTTTTGTTTGCGCACTTCTTGTTTGCCAGTTTGGGGGCTGGGGCTGGCTGCAACTGATGCTGTGTTCAGAATACGGCCGGTAAAGTGTGCATGGTGAGCTTATGTGCCTCGAGTTTTTTTACTTTGAGGACCTTTTGTGGAATCGCCTCGCCATCTATCGCTTCGCGACATCGCTGCTTGGCAGAAAAGAATCGGCGCCCGAGGTAGCTGGTTGCGTCCTTGTGGGGAACCCCCCATCTTGGGTTTTTCTTGCGGTTTCCCTTTGAAACCACTGAAAAGGGGTAGCCTCGAAACAGACAGAACCATCAGTCGCGGCTTAGGAAACTTTACTTCCTGCTGACTTTGGCCGTGTTCATCACGGGCCAGGCTGCGCTCTTCCGGCATGCGGGAGCGCAGACGGAGGCCGAGAACCTCGTCACTTTGATGCATTTTGCCAAGGGATGTTCGGACTTTTCAACTTTTGCCAACGAATTTGGGTTTTCCGCATTAAGCCACTAAAAGTTATTCACTTTTAGCAGGGGACTTTCCAATAAATCATTTTGGCCAACGAATGAATGGGTTTTCCGCATCAAACCACGAGCTGTCCACTTGCCGAGCAGAAAGCCACCAAGGTCATGTTCACCTGCCGCTGCCTCAATTACCTTGGCTGCATGAGCCCGCTGGCGCCCGGGCAGCGAGCGGAAGTGGGCGAGGTGAAGTAACGGAACCCCGTCCAAGGCTTCCGACCAAAAAGGGCACCAAAAGGAACGGCGCAACTTTTTGGCGGAACCCCCAAAAAGACGAGCCACCCATCTTGCCCAGGTGTACAGCCAATGTCACAAGGCGTTCGTCGACATCCGCAAAGGGGCGCTGAAAAGCCTCCCCTGCGGCCTGATTGTGCGAGGCTGAGATTAGAAAAACGCCTGGAGGTATGCGAAACCCTTGCTTCCATTTTCTGAAGAAGATGTTTTTGGTTTTTTCCCCTGTTGCTTTAAAAAGGGCATCTATCACTATTAGACATTTGTTTTCCAGGGGGTCAAGCAAATGGACGCAAATGTGCTCCTGCCTATGAGATCAACTGGGCTGTTCAATAATCCTTAAGGGTTATCAGCAACACTGGAATTCAGAATTCTCAAGTCACCTTTGGCTAGTGGAGGATTCCGAGATACATCTCGGAACATTGATCGCTAGTCCCCTCAAGGTAGGAGCTCCCGTATGCAGATGGAACATCGGATTGGCCGGCCCATGTCCTAGGTCCCCAGTGCCCTTCCTCACCCCTTCTCCCCTTCTTGGGGGGAGGGTTCCCCTACTAAAACAGACTACAGAAAAAAAAGGGTAGCCTTGTTCTAAACTCTCTACTGGAGGACCTAGATGTTGAACAGCCCTGCAGCCTAGATCAAGGCCATCTTCCTTTTGCCCTTGGTTTTAAGGGGAATTTATCACCACTGGCGTTTTTCCAGGGGACTTAAGCAGGGCTCCTTAAAAGATGCATTTTGCCCATTTGAAACGTGGCTTTTTTCCACAAAAATGCAGGGACACCACCAGTTACAAGGCAATGTTCAGGTGTATAATGTAAGCATCCCTTTTAAACATTTAGAATATTTCTGTTTGGATAGCTTAAATTGCGAGGCTTGTATCATCTTGTAGCCGTAAAACTCACGTTGAAGAACCAGAGTTGCCAGCTCTGCCGCTAAGGCGCAAGGCTCTTCCCGCAAAAGTTTTTTTCCGACCATGGCTTGCAGGCTTCGGTGATTTTCAGGTTTGAATTAAGGACATGTGTTGAACGCACTGCGCCCATCATGGGTCTTAGACTACACCACGCCCCCACCCAGTATCCTGCCAGAGCAGCTCACCAGTGGATCCCGCCGAGTATACCGCCAGAGCAGCTCGCCAGTGGATCCCGCCGAGTATCCCGCCAGAGCTCGCCAGTGGATCCCGCCCAGTATCCCGCCAGAGCTGCTCGCCAGTGGATCCCGCCGAGTATCCCGCCAGGGCGGCTCGCCAGTGGATCCCGCCGAGTATCCCGCCAGAGCGGCTGGCCAGTGGATCCCGCCGAGTAATGAGCGGCTCGCCAGTGGATCCCGCCGAGTATCCCACCAGAGGGGTATCCAGCTGAGTATCCCAGAGAGTAGCTCGCCAGTGGATCCCGCTGAGTATCCCGGAGTAGCTCGCCATTGGATCCCGCCGGGTTTCCCCCTCAGTGTCCCTTGCCGGTGGATCCTGCCGAGTATCCGGCCAGTGTCGAGCCGGAGCGGCTTGCAAGTATTCGCCAGTGGCCGCCAGTATCCCGCCAGAGCAGCTCGCCAGTCTGGTTTTGCTTAATGTCCAAAAGGGCCGATGGGAATTTGGAGTCGAAGTCTCTGGGATGCGGGAATTTGTTGTAACGGTCGCAAGCTCGTGAGTGTGGAGGGTGGGGATTGCTTGAAGCGACGTATTTTTGAGTTTTTTAAATAAAGCAAAATAAACGTTTTTGAGGAATCCCATGTGGCAGATGAGCCGACCTGCATGAGCGACCTGGGGTCTGACCTGGGGCATGAGGTGCCCAGATACTTGCTGACCTTCCAAGAGGCCACGAGCTTCTGCCTCATGTGGCTGCTGGCCATCATGCTCACCCAGGAGTCCCACGACCACGAGACTTTGTACAAGACTGTTTTTGCAGGGCTCCTTACAAAGACCTCCATGGAGGCAATGCAATGCTCAGGTGTATATTGCAAGGATCCCTGTTTCGTGAGACGCAAATGGGCCAAGCGGTGAGGGCTTGAGTGCGGACTTTGTGAGACTCAAAGCGGGAGAGACTGACGCATGGGCCAAGCTTTTCTAGGTCCTTGAGTGGTGCCCTTTTGTTTTTTTGGGGGAGGGTTTCTTTACTAAAGCAGACTACAGAAAAAAAGGCACCCTTATTCTAACCTCTCGACTGGAGGGCCTAGTTTTGGAGCCAGAGCGAAGCTGTTCAGGAGCCGTTCCTGTGGTGCATCAACGAGGGCATGGGCGTGAGCCTAACCTGCCAGGGCGCCGTAGATGCCGCTGACTTCTACTGCCTTTGCAGCTCGGCGAGGGTGGGAGATGTTGGCATAGGTATCCTTTTTGGTTGTTTTGGTAGAAACATAGAGGGGTTTCGATCCCTGGTTTACCTGGTGGTTTTTTCTCACCTACCAGGCATATCCATCTTTTTCCCCGAAAAGGACACCTATGGATGTTGGGCCAAAGCCTTCCTTCTCTGGACTGAAGGTTTCGCGTGTCCGGCCTGATGGGCCGGATCCGCGAGCAAACCATGCGCGCAGACGGGCCAAGATGCCACCAGCTTTTTCAGGGATCCCCCCCCCCAAAGCTCTGAACTTGCAAGACCAAGACGCTGAGCAATCGAGCTCCCAGATGCCCAGGGGATGATTGGTGAAACTGAGCATTGCTTGGCTCTGCGCATGGATTTGTTGGCTTCTTGCTGCTTCGATAGGGAAAGTTTGTTGAATCAGCCCCATAAACCATCCAACTGGTGGTCTCCTTTCAGGGAGTGCCCCGATCGGTTCATTCCTAACCAGGGCTGTGGGAAATGGAATCCACTTCTGTGATACAACAAAAAGGGCTTCCCAAAGACTAACCCCCCAATATACAAAACTGGATTCCCTTGTGTCACAGAACTGGTTGGATAAACCCCAAGTGTTCCCGCAACCCCGTTCCTAGCACCCGGACTCGGGTGTCGTCATTCCCTAGCTCAACTTCTGGCGGTCTGTTCTCGAAGCTCCCAGGCGCCTTTTTGGCGATGATGCTGTACTGGGCACTGCTCTCTGACCTGGCCATCTTTTCCATGAAGATCTCGGCCTACGCGCCCAGCAAGCCAGAGAGGGGGACAAAACCCGGTACCATGAAACGAATTTTCCGTATCCCCACAGCATAACACTGGCTGTGGCTGGATCACCAGAACTAGACGATTGAAGCAAGCTATCAGGTGAGTCACACTCAAAACCCGGTACAAAAATGGTCGACCCAGACCCATGTAAAGAACTGAGAAGCCAATATCCACAGCAATTTATGGCAAGGGGATCGTCCCTTACTAACCTTCACTTAGCCGGGTTTTGATTGTGGCTCACCTGGGCTTCAGCCCCCCCCCCCCCTGAGGTCCCGCGGTCCCTGAACCCACGAAAAAATCCATCGGCTGCAAGGTTTCTGTCCTTTTAAGAGCACCCCCCCCCCCTTTTTCCTGTGTTTTGCTGGAAAATTTAAAGGACATCTCTTTTTTTTTGGGCGGGGGGGGCCTTGAAAAGACCCCCCCCCCGGTTCATCAAAGTCTCCTGGCCCCAGCCACATTGCGCCATTGCATTGGTAATCCCGTAGGCGAATACGCACAGCACACATGACCTTCCAGAAAGGAGACAAAACGACCATCTGTTGTTCCCAAATGGTGGTTTGGAGGTCCGGTGGTTTGGAGGTCCGGGGGTGTTTTCCCATTTGCACCGGCCGGGAATGTGGTTCAAATCCAAATCCAAATTCGCAAATCCAAACCAAAGGGTAAGCTGAGACTTGCGAAGGAGAATTTCAGGTTGCCCGTCAGGGCTTCCCAGGTCCAATCTCTCGGCCGGTTGGCTCGCATTTTTCGTTCCAGGGACCCGGGCTGGACCTCGGGTCGAGGTTCTGAAGCCCAGGTGAGCCACAATGGGGCGATCCCCTTGCCATAAATCGCTGCGGATCTCCGGCTTCGGAGTTCTTGAAGTGGTTCTGGGACGGCCCATTTTTGATGACCGGGTTTTGAGCAAGTGACTCGTTGAAACCCGGATTTGTTTTTCTCGTTGGAACAGGGACTGGGGGACCTGGAAAACGGGGGGGGGGTTCTGAAGCCCAGGTGCTGATTTGCAGCTGCGTTCTCAGCGACGTGCTCTTGTTCTTCGCCGCGCTGGCCGCGGGCATCGTGGCCTTTGGCACCTCCATCAGCGCTTTGCGCCTGAGCTGAACCAAGCAGGCCACGCTGTCCTTTTCCCCAGTTGCCCAGCTAGGTCCCCAGTAGTGCCCTTTTACCGTTTCTTTTTTGGGGGAGGGTTCTACTAAAAAATAGACCACAGAAAAAAGTTGGTACCCTTCTTCTTACCTCTCTCTACTGGAGGACCTAGCCAGTGGCGCCCCATGTTCCTTTTTGTCTTGGAAAGGTTCCGAACCCTTTGAACTCAACCAACCAAGAAAGGATGCCCTCTTTTTTTTTTTGCTATGGCCACTGTGCATCTGAGTTTCTTGGGTTTGGTTTCAATTAACCACTAAAAGGAAACCCTTCATTTGTTGGGGTGCCCTTGACACACACCCATTTTGCTCGAGTTTCCCGCTGCAACTAGTTGGCACGTGGGCTCGCGCACGGAGCCTTACTCTTCAACCCGCCCGGATCGCGCAACGACTGGGCGGATGACTTGAGTTTAACCGGCGGCAACGCTTTGCCCCTACAAGTCGTTTTTGCTCTCTCTTTTTTTGGAGCTGAAGCAGAGCATGGCTAAGGTACCTCCATTCGCACGTTGCTGGTGCACACTTGTGGATGGAATCGCTGGCGGCAATGGCTTTAAGGACTGGGTTCTCGGGCTTGGAGGTGTTCAATGGGAAAATGGGTTTGCGGATGCGAACTCGGAACTTTGGCGCAAAAGCTCTTCTGAAAGGCCCGTTCAGCTTTTACCCTGCACTTCACAAACTTGAAGCTCGTCCCCTGCGGGCCGTGCGACCCTGCTTCTCTGCAGGATGTATCCTCGTGACAAATTTCAAGATCTGATGCAAAGCTTCTTAGTTCTTCAGAGCACTTTGTCATTTCTCTCTCTCTCTCTCTCTCTCTTTCTCTCTCTGTCTTTTTGCGTGGGTTCACCACCAAACATGAACAACCAAGGGGTGTTTCTTTTTTTTGTTGTTTGCCATGGTTTTTGGCTGAGGCTCCGTGGCGTCGGTGTTTGTGTGCCTCTTCGTCTTCGGCGTCACCATCTTCATGAGCAACTTGCTCGTGGCGCAGCTGACGCAGTCCTTCCACGACGCACACGCGAATATGCAGGCAGAGGGCTGAGGGTGAAGAGGGTGGCGCCGGGGGCAGGGGCAATGCCCTTAATGTTAACCCCGGATAAATAAACCCCTAAGTTGATTAATAGGGGGAGTCCCTTTTTAGTGGGGATTCAGCACTTTTGGAGGGAACACCCCCCTAATACTGGGACGGGTTTATTAATCCTGGGTCAACATTAGTTGGTGGTTTCGTGGTTTGGATTTGGACTCGACGCCCCAAACCAGCAACTAAAGGGAAGCTGGTTGTCCACGCTTTGACCTGGGCCCAACACAGCAAGAGGGCCCTCCACCCTCCAATTCTTCTTTTTAAACAGCTCCAGGGTTGGGGTGTCCAGTCGTGTCTTTGAATTGGGGGGCGGGGTCTGCTAAGACAGGAAGAGAGTAGAGGGGAAGTTGATTCTCCAGTCTCCACTTTGGAGTCTAATTTTGGCCATTGGCACTTGCAGGTTTCTTGACCCGTGGCTGCCCCCCCCCCCCCCAAGCAAGAAAAAAAGGAAAAAGGGGCGACCGTGCAGCTTCCGATTTTTCCGGGGGGGTGAGGGCTACGCACGGCTGAAGCGGGCGGGCATCACGTGCCTGGCGCTGGACGCCGTGCCCAAGCGCAAGCGAGTGGAGTTTCTGCAGTCGCTGAGATTGGAGGCGGGAGCTTTCGCCCGGAAGAGTGGGGACTAGTGTCAATAGCGACAGTAAACAGTGGTTTTTTCCAGGCAGCTGTCTGTCATTCCAGGCTGAAATCGGAAGAGTGCCCCACTTTCTGGGGGCGGGGGTACGTCAGGTAAGCAGGTAAGTGGTTCGCAAGCATTTTTTCTATCCTGAGGAGACTTATAACCACGGCTTTTGTGGGGTATAACCAGGTAGTCCCCTTAGGTTAGTTTGACTAGACACAGATTGGTTTAGACGGGTTCCATTTACCAGGGCCGTCGATTTTTCACCAATCGGACGTGGACAAAACCCTTCGGTGCCACGATTGGGGATCTGGGCTTCCCTCAAGGAGAGCGAACACCGCAAACAAAAATAGAAGAACAAAAAGACAGACCCATATTGGAATTGGCAACCAGAACTCAACCATCAACGGCAATGGGAACCTGCTGGGGCTCTCAACCTTTTTCATTTTGGTGGAAAAGAAGGGGACTGCGCTGGAAGGGGCCTCCGGATTTCTTGAAGGTTCCGCGTTTTCTGGGCAAGGGCACGCAAAGAACCTTCTGATGGGGTAGATTTCTCGGCGCTGTTTTACAGTCGAAGCGAAAATACAGGCATGCTGGCTGCTGTCTTTTTTTTGGGCCAGGATGGCGCAAGGGGCAAACAAGTAGTCCACTGTTGATCCGGCCACTCAAGTCAGCAGGTTGGAATGTGAACACAGTTTCATACACACTTGTTAAGGTGATTTCAATAATTTAATTGGTAATGTGATTTTATTTTTATTTTTATTGTTTTTGTTTGGGTTTGTTTTTTTTCTTCTTTTTAAACAAAACAAAAGCATGTTTATATAATCAATAAACAGCTATTTCTTTTTATTGGGAGGTCCAGTTTCTTTTAGTGGGGGTTTGGATCACTTCCAAGCATGGAACCTCTCTTGAGGGCCGGCTATTCACCTGGGATTCCTATTGCTTGGATATCCTTTGCCCATCGAAATGGTTAGCAATCCTGGTTGCCACGTAGCGGTCATACTGTGGATGGAAGAAATCCTGCACCACTTTGAAAGCATGGACATTGCTTGTTGGTATTTACAGGGGAATCGAATCATTCCAGGGTTTTGTAGGGTGCACGATTGCGGCCACCTACAGTAGGGCTCAGCTCATTTGGAACTTGAAAGTGGCTTGTACTCTGGGGTGGTTATTGGTTGCTAGTTGGGCTGACAAATGAGTTCGAGGCTTGAGTGTTCTTCTATGTTCAGTGGGTTTGCTCTCCATGGCTCCAGCCACACGCTTTTTCCTATCAACAGGCTAGTTAAGCTGGTTGCAGTCAGGAGGTCCTTCCGCCCCAACCCTTGGAAGTGCCCAAAGCGAATCTTTCCTTCTGGACCTCTTGGCTTTTCCATTTTTACCATGGCCCCCAGAAGGTTAGCCTTTCGTTTCTGGGTTCCTCAGGGGCTGAGGGAACTCTGGGGAAGCTTCGGGTTTCTTTGGAGTTCCGGGGCGTGTGGGGGAAAGGACTCCGATTGAAACTTCAAGAAGTTTCAGGTTGACTCCAACCATTCTTCTCAACCATCGTCCTTTTGAAAGAGCCGTTGCTTCCATGGTTTCCTGAAAGGAAGGATCCCTGGAAAGAATGGGTAAGGCAAGCCAGTGGCTTCCTAGTCCCAGGCAGCTTTTCATCAAGGCGACGTCAGTTCGGAGGTTTGGGGTGTGCGGTGCGGCCCGCTTTGGTTCGCGTCCGGTCGACGCGCCGACTTCTCGACTTCTCAAGGAGCCGTTAGAGTTCAACGAGGGGGACGTGGGCCTTCCGGGTGGCATCCAGGCATGGGCGAATTGCAGGGCGAGTTGCATGCATTTGGGGCGGTGGCTCGGGTTTTGGATCGCGATCCGGCATCAAACTTCCTGGTTTTAAGACTCAGGACTGGTTGGTTGGTTGGTTGGTTCGTTGGTTCCTTGGTTTGTTGGTTCGCGGTGCAGCATCACCAGCACCATTGAGAGCAGTTTGGCACTGATCTGTCACAGCAAAGACGCAGAAGCATGCCGCTTTGCCCTGAAGTCATCCAGGAGCTGCCCACAGCCCTCAGGCAGCCAAGGGTCCAAATCATCTTTGGCCGGCTGACTGGATGGCAAGCCCCATTTTGGCCTCTCAGGTTCCCAGTTGAACTGATAGGAATCGGAAGAACAGGAATCGGAAGGACAGTCAAACACGTTGAGATGTTGCTTGCCCTCTGACGCGTTTCGCCAGGCCGGTTCCACGTGCCGCCTTTTCTTTCCCCAAGCTGGTTGGCAAGGAGCAACGCTGCTGGCTTTCTGCCGATTTCGCTCGAAGCATTTCATGCGCCAGGACGCAACTACTTGGCTTGGTGAACTCCGTAAGACTTCGCACATGCTCCCTATAAAGCATCAGGTGAAGCAGCTTCTAAACTTCTCCGGCATGACTTCTTTGCTTCAAAGGCACCTTCGCAGCGACATTTGGCCTCGTGCCATTGGCAGGTGCTGGAGCCTGCCGGCGAGAACGTGGTGACAGAGGAGCGAGGGCATTTGAGCCATGGGTGTCAAATCCGTTGTGGTATCGATCCCATGTTGGTTGGATTGGGTGAATTCACCACCCATTTTAGGCTTCCTTTGGATCGAAGCGGATGAAAACTGGGGGTTGGCCAGGGGGCTTGACCCATGGCCATTTGACCCATGGCCATTTGAGCCATGGGCCAAGCCGTAGCTCTGGGCGTCAGAAAGGGTCCAAGAGCGAAGCTCCGCAGCTTGTGCAAGTTGAGACGATCCAAGGTGGGGAGGCTGAGTTGGTTTTGCAAAAAGTTGGCTGCCTTGTGTCTTAGTTGGGTTGTATATGCTGTTTTCTTTGCGTGTATTGTTGCGTGTGTGTGTGTGTGTGTTGTGTTTTGTTTTGTTGTGTTGTGCTGTGTTGTGTGCTGTGCTGTTCTGTTGTGCTGTGTTGTGTGCTGTGCTGTTCTGTTGTGTTGTGTTGTGTGGCTTTTGTTCTTTGTTTCTTTGTTTCTTTGTTTGTTTGTTTGTTTGTTTGTTTGTTTGTCTGTTTGTCTGTTTGTCTGTTTGTTTGTTTGTTTGGTTTTCTTTCGTTTTCGTTTTGTTTCTGCTTTGCTTTGATTTGCTTTGCTTTGTGTTGTGTTTGTTGTCTTAAATGGTGTGTGTGTGTGTGTTGTTGCTTTTTATTTGCTTGCTTTGTTTGTTTATTCGTTCGCTCGTTCGTGCGTTGCAGTCGTTGGTTGTTTTGCGTGTTTGTTTCGTGTTGCCTTTCTGTTTGTCCTTGTCTTCTTTTTGGTCTCAAGTCGCTGCCAGCGCCCTCGGGCCCTCTCGGGCCCTCTCGTTTCGAGTTCAACATATGGCTCGTCTTATCTTAGACCCCAAAACGGTGGTTTGCCTTTTAGCCTCCTTTGAAAACAGAAAAGGGGGTGCCTTCAAAACAAGACACACCCAAACTGAGTCGGATTTGCATTCAAAGCCCTTCCAGTCGGGACTTGAGCAAACGCCTCGGTACCTTCACACTCGATTTCGTCTCGCTGGCGGGCTGTGAAGTGGAATGTCACCCCATTTTTCAACCGCCTGAAGAAAGACAAAGCTGGACCTGCGCAGGCTTTGTGGCTCGGTGTTCTTGAAAGGGACGCCTCAGGAAGCCATCCTCACGGATCGTCCTTCGCCAGGAGAGCATCAAGCGCTTCGGGGGCCCCACTGCGCCAAGCGCACCGTGGCCCCGGGAGAAAGAAGAGGAGGTGAACTCGGCTTGGGCAGTGAGATCGGCTTGGGTGAAGGGAAGGATCCTTGGCAGTGACCCAGCCGAAATTCAGAAAATATTTGTCAGAGTATATGGTGCTTGTGTTTGCGTTCTTTCTTCCAGGTCCCGCTTCTGATGAATACCTCCAGGATATTGTTCCGGGATCACGAAAAACAGCGCAGCAGGGTCTTGGGACAAAGCCTGGCACCACTCTGCAGAGCAAGTTGCAGCCAGGGATGCGCCGCGGGCATAGGTGTCCTTGTTGGTTGTTTCGCTAGAAAAATGGATGGCTTTGGTTCACCTGGTGGTTAATCATCTACCAGGGCCATCTAGTTCCCCTAAAAGGACACCTATGGCCGCCGGTTTTTCAAACCCCGGATGGTTCATCTTCGAGCGCAGGAGGTAGAGGACAAGCTGATGCGTCTGGAGAAGAAGCTGGGCAACATGGTGAAGGCCACTAACGGCAAGGCAAGGAAAAGGGCAGGGGAAAAACTGGGACAGTTTGAGTTGGTTGGTTGGGTTGGTTGGGTTGGTTGGGTTGGTTGGTTGGGTGGTCGGCGAGCATCGCACAGCTCAGGTCACCCGTCAGGTTGGTGGTTTTGATTTGGATTTGAACTGGCTCTTGTGGAGGGTAAATGGGAAACCCCTCCTTAGCCACACCACCGGGCCCAAAAGAAAACACTTAGGGGGCTCAGCTAGTTGGCAGATGCCTTGCCTGCGTTGCCCTTGGGTTTCCTTTTAGGCCGGCGAGCGGACGGGATGGCCCATGAGCCGGAAGCCACGCAGAAAAGGAACCCTGGAAGTCACGACATGTTCCACTCCAGCAAAATGGCACAGAGAATGTCGCCCTGCTTGAAGTGTGGGGTAGTTGTGTGTGTGTGTGTGTGTGTGTGTGTGTGTGTGTGTGTGTGTGTGTGTGTGTGTGTGTGTGTGTGTGTGTGTGTGTGTGTGTGTGTGTGCGGGTGTGGTTACGCGTGTGCCGCTTTTTCCACAAGGAGCCACGCGCCGCGGGGTTTGGTACATTTGGGCCGTGAATGGGTTGTCGATCAGGGTCGAAACGGCTTTGTGTGAGTCGCCTTGTCCAAGCGTCCCAAGACGTTCCGCTGTTTTGAAACACCCGAGTAACCGTAAAAGGTATGGAGTGTAGCGTCGTTTGCAGTGTTGGTTGCAGCATTTGCTTGAGCCAAACTTGTGACCTTGGGAGCGGTCATCTCTGCGACAATTGTTTCGGGGCATGCAAAAATTACCCTGTGGCCAGTGCTTCATCTGGAGCTGGCTGGCGCATGTCAGAGCTTGACGTCCCTGCCTAAATCCAATTTCATTTGTGCAGGAAGCCAAGAGTCAGGGTGGCAGCGGCGACAGCGCGGGCGGCAACTCGAACGGCGTGGGCGTGAGCTGCATAGAAGAAGCGGAATAGCAAGGTTCATCTGAGTCACAATCAAAACCCGGGGTAAGTGAAGTTTAGTGAGGGACAGTCCGAACCATAGATAGTTGTGGCCGCCTTCTTGATTCTTTGCATGGCTTCGGGTGGACCGCCCTAATACCAGGTTTTGAACGTGACTCACCTGAGAACTTGCTTGCTTCAATCGTCTAGTGTTTCTGGTGATCCAGCCACATCAGCCAGTGGTTTTATGGATGCTGTACTGGGGATGCTTAATTCGTTTCAAGACGCCATTGAATGACGGTCTTTGACGAGTTCGTGTAGATCCTCAATTTGGGCATGCGAAGTGCTTGTGGTCAAAGCCGATGCCCAAATTCACTGCATGTGCTGTGAGTCGTGCCCCTAAGGAGCGCGCGGCAAGCAAATCATTTTGCCGCTAAAGGTGCGGGCCGAATTCACTGCACGTCACCTCCATTTGCTTATTTTGTTTTCTTTGTTTTTATCTTCTTCTTAAAACAAAAAAATGTTGGTTTTAGCAGGATTTCATCGCTACTGGACCTATTTTTATTGTTTGCTGGGGCCTGAACCAAATGGATGGTGAGATCCGCCATCGTTTCCGTGGACGTCGAAAGGCGAGTTTTGTATTTTGGGCCTTTGAAAGTGCTGCATTATTGTGTTTGTTGAAGGGTGTTCTACCCAGCGGAAAAGTGGATGATTTGTTAGCTCAACTCAAGGTGATCCCACCAAAACAAGAACAATGGCTTTGGGCCGATGACGTTGCCCTTCAAAAAGCATCATGGTGGGAACCCAAGACCCCTTTGAGAGAGCCAAAGCATGAGTTCCCCAATCGGAACTCAGTGGCTTTCTGCTCCCCTTCTAAAAGTTTAACTTTTTAGAAGGTTAATGGAAAACCCATTAGTTGGCAAAAAAATAAAGTCCTAACATCCAAGCAAAATCAAAAGATTGCAACCCGACCTAAAAACCAGAGGGCCGAAAACAAGACCATGGCTCATATATGGAATTCCGACCACGCCTCATTTTCTCATTTTGGCAATGCAGACCCTGGTGCTTTCTGTGTGTTTGACAATCATCAGCTGACACCACACCAAAGAGAGAGAAAGCGAGAGAGAGCGAGAGAGACAGAGACAGAGACAGAGACAAAGACAGAGAGAGAGAGAGAGAGACAAAGAGTTCGCTGGGGATCTTTGATTTCCGCAAAGGCCAAGAAAGATTGGCAGTAAAAGCTGGCGCAATGCTTTGCGGCATTTTGTTAGGAATCTTTCAGAGGCCCCGAGAATGAGTTGTCGTGCGCTCAACAGAGTGCTCTCTGGGAAGCTTTTCTCCTGCCCACCAGTGGCTCGTTTGGCGGCAATTGCGTCGCGGCCAAGCCGGGAACAGGGGATTTCCAAATGGTTTTTCATTGGAATCTGGTGTTGGTGACAACCATTGGGATTTCCACAGCACCCCCTTGGTTTGGAACCCAAACCGGGAAAATTGGCCTGTTCCCGGTGGCCAAGCGATTTTGTTCGGCGACTGCATGTCACACGCACCTGTGAAGCCGGCGCCTGTGCGAAAAACATGTTCCTCCGCTCTTGGCGGTTGGAGGAGGGTTTGGACTGCTTGTGCTGAACAGCGGTGTGTGATACATATTAAATAAATGGCCATGGTTCAAAACCAATGGTATCCAATTTTGGGATAGGTGAATTCACCCCCCATTTTAGGCTTCCTATTTTAGTGGTTGGATTGCGATGTTCTTGGGGGGCTAGCCGATTTGGATTTTGGCAAATCCATGGCCCGTTGCCATTGTCCAAAGGCGTTGCCTCAGAAGGCCTTGCCATTCACAATTCGACCTCAACAACTTACGGCATGTTAGTGACTCTTGGAGTTGGTGCCCCTTGTTTGGTGGTAGGGGACACCAAAGGAAAACCACAGTTTCGGGGGGGGGTCTCCTAAAGAGAGATCCGATACACCCACCCCACCCACCCCACCCACCCCACCCACCCCACCCACCCCACCCACCCCCGATTGTGATTCACCCAGCTTTCTCTGCTTTCCTTTGCTTCCCACTTCGCCTGTAAGCGTTCCCTGGGCTCCCGCCGCAGGTGTGTCCCGGTGAGAGCTGGCCGCTGGGGGCGTGTTCTTGTTCGGCTGGCGCACGTCGCGGGGGCAACGCGCGCGTAGTCTTTGTCTCACCCGCCCCGCACCTTCAAGCTGCACCTCTTCAAAATCGGCTTGTTGACTGGCCAAAGAGAATCAAGTGTGGGGTGCCTCACGCGCGTCGTTTCAACGGTCTGACCGCCGTTTTCACCATCGCTTAGCCTGGGGCAGGCACAAGGCCGCACGGTTTTTTGGAGGTTCGCATCGTTTTGCGAGCACAAAAAGTTTTGACGGCAACTGGTCATCCCCTTCTGATCCCACATCTACAGGGATTTGTTTTCCGCACTTTTCTACCTGGGTGGATTGCCTGGTGGGTAGAAGGTTGCTTAAGCTGCACTAGGCGTGGACAGTCCAAATTTGAGCAGGAGGAGCGCAGCCTTCACGGTTGTTGGCAAGACTTTACGTTTGCTTTCGTTAATTTCTGGGTGCTTTGGTTCTGTTCATTTTTTTGCCCTCCCATACCGTTTGGGTTGCAAAGTAACCCATTCAGAGAAACAGACGCTGAGCTCAATGTCTCGGCATACCCTGAAAGCCCCATGACAAGTTTTTGTGGCAAGGACAAGATTTTGGATCTGGGCAAAGGGGTGGGATGGGGGTGCAAATTTGAAGTGGGTCGACTCGCAGTGCCAGTCGTACTGCATCAAACCTAAGGCTCAAAATTGATGGTTTATGTTATTGGGAAAGTGAAAAGTGACAGGTGAAAATTGACACATCCCGATTCACAAGACCCCAGGCCGTCCATCTCCAGGGAGGTGGTCTCTTTGTTGGTCACCTCCCCCTTGGATTGGTGGATTCAGGTTTGAACCCATGGGGTTCTTGTGGGTAACTGGGGGGTCCCCATACGGCAATTGGAGGGAAGCACTTGCTGGTGCCACAAGCCATCCATTCTGTGGTTCCCTGTATTCGCCTAAGTGTCCTGTTTGGCGGTTTTGGTCGAAAAATAGAGGGGTTTCGATCCCTGGTTCACCGGACCTACCAGAAAATATCCGTCTATTTCCGCGTTTGGAGGGACGCCGATGTGTCTTCGGGGATCCGCAAAACGGTCCATTCCCAGACACCCTCGGCACCGGGCCTTGCGAAAGCCCCGAGGCTCTTGCCGGGCCTGAGCCTGGCGTGGGTGGCGGGCCGCATGGGCCTCCTGGCGGCCGGGGGCTTTGGGGCTCGTCGCGGAGAAGCGCATCGGCAAAGCGTGTGGATGGAGGAAATGGATGTCGCACCACTTGAGAAACCCTGGAGATGATTCGATTCCACGGTAAATACCAACCATCAATGGTTTCAACCATGGTTTGCAACTGGTGCAGGAATTCGTTCATCCACTGTAGGTCCCCCAGTAGTGCCCTTTCTCACCCCTTTCTTGGTTGGGAGGGTTCCCCTACTAAAATCGGCTACAGAAAAAAGGGTCCCTTATTCTAACCTCTCTACTGGAGGACCTAGAGCACCTGCCCCTGTCGAAGCACCTACCCTCTCTCCCACAAACATAGCACCTGTGGGGAGGCACCTGGAAGATAAGTTTCCTCTTGGAGGGACCTGTCAGGGGCCAGGTTAGTGGGAGAGAGGGTATTCCAAAAATAAAGCAAACCACCAGGGCGTCCGAGCCAATAATTATGCTTGAGACCTCCAACTTCCCCCAATGAAAAGTTGGTCAAGTTGCTAGTGGTAACCCACCAATACTAGGCCACTGGAAGCTTGATCCACTTTTGATTGGGGGTAAGCCTCGGCATCGAGCGCTCCAGCCGCAAAGGGGCTCACCAAGGGATGTGGATTTCAGGCGTCGCTTCTCTTTCTGCGGAAATGGGCAGGTGGGTCCTTTTGCTGCGGAAGGCTATTTTCACATGAGCCACCCGGGTAGATGAAGGTTAGTAAGGGATGATCCCAGCCACAAATAGCTGCGGCCGCCTTCTTAATTCTTTACATGGTTCTGGGTTCACCATTGTTGCACAGGTTTTGATTGTGACTCACGTTGGCTTCTGCGGCTGTTGTAGATTGTTGTAGTCTGCTGTTTTCACATTGGCTTCTCGACATTTTGTGGCGCTTTGCTACTACTGTTGCTGCTGTTGGAGCTGTGCTCACTTTTGGGCCGTGGGCAGATTCGTTGCATGGGGCCCATGCAACACCTGGGCGTGAACCCAGATCCTGTGCCTGGAGTCTTCCATGATCTGATCCCTGGGCCTTGGGGCAAAGTTTGGGTCGCCACCGGCTCGCTCCATCCACGCGAGGCAAAGCTCATCCTGTTAGAGGAGCCCGGAACCCAGAGAGGGGATTGCAAAGGTCTACTTGGCCGTGGATCACAATCCCGTACCCCCCATGAACATCCGAATCCCCACTAAAATCCACTAAAATGGGTGGTGCACCTACCCCAAAATGGTACCATTAGTTTTGACACACAGCCACTTTGCTTAGGATTGCAAGTCCTTATGGGCTTGTCAGGGCGGACTAAGAGTTGGGAAGTTCCTTGGAAGCAACAAGTTTGGGTGCCCACCCGCTGTATGGAGTTGGGGGGGGGGGGGCGGGTGGCCCCTGGAATTCTATGTTGGTCTCTTATGGGGCAGGCCTAGGTGAATGGAATCGGGTCCCGGACGCCCCGTCCCCTCCCCCTTAAGGCAACGGATATGACTCATCAACAAGTGCCGGAGTTGCGCGTCGAATTCCAAGACTACCCTCCCACCAGCTTGAATGGTTTCGCGCGAAACTTCCCCTTCATGTCACCATGGAAGCCACCAGAGAGGGTCTCGCTTAAGCAAAGTGTGTTCCAGGAGGCTCCAATGTTGGTGGGGTTGGTGGGTTTTTTCCTGGTCTTGCCCTCACGCTTGCTCGTCAGGCGACTTACATTCACACCTTCCAGCATGCAAAAACCCATCCTTCTGCGATAGCAGATCATGTAGGAGCTACGTGGGGCCCCTGTAGACCTTTTGCTGGAGCCATCGCCCGGAAGATAGCTCAGCTTCGATCTTGGGCCAGGCTGCCGTGGTTTGCAGCAGGTGGGGCCAGAACGGAGGCCGTGTCGGGAGATGTTGCTCACATTTCGAGTTTCCGTCTACGCTCAACGGGCGCCGCCACAGCTCGGTGGCAACGTTTTCAGAGATTTGAGTCTGCAAACGTGGCAATTGATACATGAATAGCACGTGATGATGGATTTTTCCTGTCTGGTAGCTGCACCTAGGCCGCTGCACCTAGAACTGCCTTCTCAGCTCATGCCGCATATGCCGCATGGTTTTGCTCAAGAGGTGCAAGCAGTCCAAAGAGAGGCTGGAGGTATTTATTTATTATTTATTTATTGATTGATTTATTTATTTGTTTATCAATTGTTTTATTTATTTGTTTCCCGCTTTCGCTAGAAAGACGGCATCGGCACATCAGCAATCTTTCAGCTGGCGGGTTGGCAACGTTGGCAACGCTGGCAACGAGCTTCGCAAAGCCCAGCGGCAAAGCGAGAACAGCCATACCCGGGGAAGAAAAAGGCGAGCACAAGGCCAGGTCTCGTGTGGGCATTGCCCTCTTTAAAAACCCACCCCCAAACAGCCTACCGACACAATCCCCGTTGTTCTTCCTCCCTGTGAACTCTGAGACCTGTGAGAAAGCGAATTACGAGCCTCGAAACCCGGCTCGCCGTGTGCATCTCGAGTTCCTAAGCCGGCGCCATGGCCGCTGAAGATGTGCGGCTCAAAGATTTGCTGCCGGACCGCGAGGAGGAGCGAAGTCTCCCATGTTTCTCACCGCAGGGTCCGCGTCCGCCGCCTGTGGATGGGTGCGACATGTTCCTCGAAATCCGCGTCGCGAAATGAAGCCATGCAAAAGAAACCACTGGCCTGTGGTTGGTATGGGCGCTGGAAGGTCAGCTTCTGACATGCGCAAAGAGGTTGCCACGCAAACGTGTGCGGGATCCCCAAGCAAGGATACGTATTTGGGTGGTGGAGGGCTAAAACCCGTGGCTTCGCACCAAAACCTGGATGCATGTCACGGCTGAGCCATGGGACCACAAAATGGCCAGGGAGCCGTGACATTTCTGGTCAAGGAGGGCACCGGTCGGGGGCATCCATCCGGGGCCAAAAGCAGAACAGATGCAGCTGGGTAGATGGATGGATAGAAAGAGATATTAAACGGGCAGAAACACAGGTTAGAAAGATACGTAAGTGGATAGAGACATTGAAATTGGTAAAAAGACAGATTCTTTGGAGCATGTTGCTTGGATGTTAGGACTTTAACTCTTTGCCGGCTAATGGGTTTTGCATTAAACCACGAGAAGTTAAGCTTTTAGCAGGGGAGTAGAACGCAACCGATACATGGTTTTTCTGCTGGACGTGGCGTTTGCTTGGCCCGTCTCGACTGGGCGCTTTTGTATCGCCAGGTGATCGCCTTTGCCTTGAACCACTCCGGGGAGGCTCTGATCCTATCCGTCTTTCTGCTGGCCGCCTGGCTCACTTATTGAGTCATTGAGCAGTGCCCTTTGGCCCTTTTTTGGGGGAGGGTTCCCCTACTACAGTACTACAGAGAAAAGAGAAAAAGCAAAACAAAACAAAAAAATCGGGTACCCTTATTCTAAGCTCTCGACTCTCTACTGGACCTGGTCAAAGGAACGCCTTGATTGGCCCAATGATCGGCACCTGTGGGCCCCGAGCAGCTCGTGTCACAGGCAGATGGGTGAACGTCGCCCTACATCCCTCTGGGTCACGGATCTGAAACGACTCAAGCTGTTTGGTTGAACCCCAGGGATTTTTAATGAAACCCACAAACCGTGATTCGCTTTTTGGCAGAGGGGTCAACAGCAGCAACGATTTCGAGGACTATTCAGGAGGCCTTCCGTGAACCCCATCCGTTGTCGACTCAAACCGGCTTGATACCCCAACAGATCATGAGATGTGCTAGCCCTCATTTGGTGGGTCAAAACCCATGGTACCATTTTCGGGTAGGTGCACCACCCATTTTAGTCTATTTTAGTGGGCACTGGGAATACGGGATTTTTACCCATGGCCACTTGAATGATGTGGGGGGATGAGGAGACAGTCAGCTGCCCTGCAATGCTCTGACTCTGAGAAGCCTGCTACCACTCCAGCCCTCAGACCTGAAGCCAAAGCAGCCCCAAGCAGCCCCAGTTTCAGGTAGTTGGCTTCGAGAAGGACGTCATGGCCAGTCTGCAACTGGGCGCCTGTCTGGTGCTCTTGCTGCTGTCCCCTGGCTCCGTCGAGAAGACCGCTCGGCCCAGCCAAGTCTTCACCGCCAGCGCAGGCGCGCGCGTTGGCGCGGGCGCGCCAACGCGCTTTGCTGTTCAAAAAGCGAGCCTTGTGACCTGTGACCAAACCCTCACCATGCCGCTTGTCTCGTTTTTGTTCTCATGTCCCCCAGGCTATGCTGGTGTTATCTTCTTGCCCCTCTTGGGGCTTTGGTTTTGATATTTTTATGTAGCATTGGTCTTTCATGTGTCATCCCTGTTCCGTGGATAGCCATGTGTTTTGTTGAAGCAACACATGTGTTCTTCTTTTTTCTTGGGCCTTTCACGTGCCAGGCGGCCCCCTTTTTCCGGCTCTCCCCGCAGTTTTTTTGTTTTTAACGAGAGGCATACGTTTCATCAGTGAAGGCTGGGGAAGCACTTGCTTTGAGGCACACCACGTATCGCAGTTTGGTTGGCTCACGCGTGCGCGGCGGAATGCTGCCTCTCTTGGAGCTTCTCAAAAGATGTCTGTGGTTTCGGAGGCCTAAGGCTACTTCCGCCTTTCGGACTGATGTTCCGCAGTCTGTGGTAGACGCACACGAGTGAATCGTCCATTGATCGGTTCCTTAACTGGATTTGTCTGCTTGGTCGTTTGATCACATGTGTGGACTGGAAATCAGGCCACTTCGTCGGGAAGAAACCGATAGTAGGGACTGCCTTGGCCTCAGGGAAACTGGACGGATGTTGCCGAAGGCGCCGGCAAAGTTGGCCACAGCTTGCCACAATGCAGGCGCTGCCTTGCTGCTCCAACTGGTGGGGATGGCGGACTTGCGATGGATCGACAACAAGGCGAGAACGAGCGATTGCCTCCAGCCGAGGTTTGGGGCACTGAGAGTATGGCTGTGGGTCAAAAATAGGGTAACCCCAAAATGGGTTGCCCCATCGGTAAATGGAAACATGGAAGAACATTTGCACTGTCCTGGTGGTTTAATTTTGACCCATGTCCACTTGTTCTTTTCTTTTTCTTCTTTAAATAAGTTGCCCCGAGCGAGACATGTTTGGTTTCCAGTGCTTATGTGCTTTGGAGAAGAAACGAGGGCCTCTGCTTTGGTCCCTGGGTCTCGTTTGGTGTCAGAGACGGGCCTTTTGCAGATCCTTCGCTACTTTGGCCTTGCCTTCGATGCGGGGATTGCTGCCCGGCGGTCAGCTTGAGTTTTTTTTTTTTTTTTTGCCGGTGGGGGCAGAGCGGTTTATCAGACGCTTTCCTCCATATATTGCGGCTCTACCGCCAACAGCGGCAACTTGCTTCAATCAAAAACCAGCAGTTAGATGGTCAACTTTGGGCTGCGGGAATTCCCGCGACTGTTGTATGACCAGAAGTTGGTCTACATTGCAGGAAGCCGGTATGTTGGAGCATGGAGCATGGATTTCATGACAGGCTGGGAGTGAGATCGGAAGGTGGGTACCTCGACTTCCAGCGGTTGAGGTAGTCTTTTTTTGAGACTACCCCTTTTTGGGTTGGCGCAGCCAGTTTCCAAATGATGAGGGCTGACATGGACTGACGAGAAGTTTGTTACAGGAGAGCCATTGGGGGGGGGGGCGTTGGATGAACTTGAATCGAAGCTCTCGTATATTCATGCTGGTGACGACAGGGTGGCTGGTGGGAATGAGCACGGCTGGAAAAGAACCAGCCAGAGAAGCCCACACAAACTCATTCGACTCAGAAAGTCGGACCCACCTGATATTACCCTCAATGGGGTTGATCAATTTGGGAAGCCGGATTTTTTTTCGCGAATATGAGCTGATTTATCAGCTGGGTCCGAATTTGTGGCTCTAAGGCTGGCCTGTTTCATACTTGCTACAAAGAATGCCCAGCGGCCCAGCGGGGCTTGTACGTTTGTTCGTCACGCGCTCGCTCGCACGCCAGTCAGATCCTTTTTGCCTCCCTTGCCGCTCTCATTCTTGCGTCCAAGGTGTGCCGACAGCTCTTCATCATCATTTTGGCGAAGCCTCTCGGCGACACTTCAAATTGTTTTTCTTTTTTCCCGATCGCTTCAAGGGCTAGCTCGTTTGCAGCATAGCTTTCTTTAGATGTGCCTGCTGTGACAGGATTTCTTTGGAAGACTTGGTTCCATTTACAGAGGCCTTCTGGGAGCTTCCGTGTTAGTCTGAAAGAGTGTAATATTACTTTTTGGGCATCGTTCTGCATGGTGAGAAACTGGGCTTTCTGTGGCTTCTTGTTGGCTCCTGGCCTTTGCGCCCCCTTCCCATTTCAACTGCGAATTCTCTTTTCCCTCCTCGCCACTCGCTGGGAGTGACCTTTTGGTTTCGTTGAGTTTTTTTTGGGTTGAGCAGCCATGAATGTGGGCGACCTTCAGTTTTTTTGGTTGGGTTCTACTCGTTGGGCAGGGAACCCAACAGCTTCCACACGCGAGGATCGACGATCTGCTGCACTCCCTGTCCCACGCCGAAGCTGCGGACGAGCTGGAGATGACCGACCTGGGGCCCGAACAGCCTGCAGGAACCGAAGGAACCGAAGGCGCGACCAACCCAAAAAAGGGGGGGATGGGGGTTCTCGCAGGGGCGGATTTTTCGTTTTTTTGGTGGTGGTTTGAAGGGAGCCCAAGGGGAAAACCCATAAAAGCAAATGTTTGGGGGGGGGGGGGGTCCCTGTTTTGAGAAGCACACCAGTTGTAGTACGCAACATTCGGGTGAATGCTACATCATGGAACTG